TGTTCTCCACATGGATCTTTGGATTATTGCCAGCGCAACAGCAAGAAGGAAGCTCGACTTTGCAAACATCATGTTTGGCCAATTTCTCCCTGTAGGGGATGAAAATTACAAAGGTCTCCTACCTTTCGGTTCCATCATCACACGACTGTTGATCAACCTAGGTGTTGACCTGTCAGAGTTTCGGAGCATCTCCTCCACAATGTATGTCAGTGCACTAAACGTGCTAATGGTACTTGATCTGCCAACTGACATACCTCCTCTTCCTCCTCCTTCTGCATCCCTTCTGGGTCCCCCTCCAAAATCTCGTTCTGCTAAGAAGGCCTCTTCTGGGAAAAAGGCCAAATCTGCTGGTGAATCCAGCAAGTCTGGAGATCTTGTGTTTACAATCTCCGAAGGCAATACCTCCTCTGATGATTCTGCTGCCTCTGCCCCTCTTGCCTAAATCTTCTATTTCTCTTATCTTTAAGTAGTAGTGCTCTTATGTACGTTTTCTTTTGGAGCCTTTTGTTCAGGGGGAATGAGTCTTTTGGTGTTTAGGTAGTTAAGAACTGGTGTCCAGTTCCAACAAGTTAGGGGGAATATCTTCGATATTCCATATTTTGTACTCTCAATCCCCCTCGATATCATGCTCCTCATGTAACCGCTTTTAATGAATGCATTTATGTTTCCTGTTTGGATTCTTGGTCTGCTGGTGTGCTGTCTGCTTCTGTTTTGCAGGTCCTCCAACTTCTCGGCCGAAGGGGGAAGTTGTTGGCTAAAACGGTGTCGTCTCAGTCACTTAAAACGGTGTCGCTGGCATACCAAAGGAACGGTCAAGTTTTGGGTTTCGTCCATCGCAGTTGGTGTACACATCTCGAATCTGTCAATCTGCAGCTCTCTGATCCTCTCAAGAGATCGAAGAACCGCTCTCCCAGAGCTCCACCGCCTCTACTAAGCAAGCAATCATAATCGCTACCTGGAGCGCTTTGTAGGAAACGACTACTTCATCTACTCAGTATAAAAAGCGAGTGAGTTCTTCATTTTGAATGTAACAATTGGTAGTAAGAGAATTTGGGATTCTGCCTTATCTATCATGGGCTGTTTTGGGTACCATCTTCAGTAGATAGGTCACAGGAGTTGAGAATTGGGTGATCTTGTCTTGGGAAGTTGGGGTTGAGTGTTTTTCTTTCTATTGTCGAAAGTGCCAAGTCTCTTGGCTTGGCTAGGGATCGAGTAGATCAATTGTAACTCTGTTTCAATTTGAATGAAATTATTTTCTTTCATACTCATTTGGATTTAACAATGGCGAGGAAAGCAACAGAGACGACGGCGAGGAAAGCAACGGAGACTCCCACGGTGAGTACCACGGCGCCTAGATCGCCGGTGCTTCTGGAGTGAGCGGCGCTAGGTACGACGATCTCGATTGGATTTGGAGAATAGGCATGTGTCTCTCTGTTCGTAAACCACCTCTCTCTGTTATAGTTGATTCTATTTCAGTATCTTTGTATCTCTGTTTCGTACTGCTCTCTGTCTGTTATATGAACCGTATAGCTTTGTTACTTCTTAATTAGTCAATTGATTGCGTTTCTTTTGTGTTCCAAGAAATATCACGTCTAAATTCTTTCAAAATTTGAATTGATAAAGTAGAATGGCGTCCATACGAGCACCGCACCATGGATTAATCAATTTTTTTCACAAACAAATGGAAAACTACGGAGAACGCGGCATATAGTAGCGAAGTCGATTTGTTAAGTTCTGGTTCGGCCGGAGATCCATTGCGCCACAGCTTCCGGACGGTAGAATGTTCCCCTGTCGGCGATTGATTATAGTAAGCGACGGCGGTGGAGCTCTCCCAGTTCGTCTAGCCACTTCGCCAATCTGTTCGGATGTGGCAGGAGCTACTTGCCAACGATCTATTTGGGGCTCCCCTGGGTGCGAGTCCAAATGCTATGATTATTTGGAACAACATAATTGTCAAGATGCAGGCAAGACTTGATGGGTGGCAAGGAAGGTTCCTCTCCCTTGGTGGAAGGATCGCTTTAACTCGCAGCACTCTAGCAAGCCAACCATTGTATGCGTGCTCTATTCTGAAAGCACCAGCGTCTGCTACTCATAAGATGGAGAATTGTATGAGGAAGTTCATATGGTCTGCTTCTAACACCAAGAGGAATTACCATCTACTTAAATGGGATATTTGTAAAGTGGCTAAGGACGCTGGTGGCTTGGGGATTTTAGATATTAAGTGTATGAACTCCGCGCTTCTCTCGAAATGGTTGTGGAAGTATGCTTCTGACCCAGTGGCCTGGTGGCGGAGGTTAATTGACATAAATTTCACTTGCCATACTACGCTTTGGAGGGCTGGAAAGGGCGATAGAAGGCTGGCTCTTTGTGGAAGAATATCATGAAGGAAGAAGCTGAGTTCTGGAAACATGCTTTTGTGAACGCTGGAGGGGGAGGTTGGGTCTCATTCTGGAGGGATTGTTGGATTCCTGGGGTGATCCTTGAAGATGTCTATCCAAGAGTCGCAGCTGCCTCGTCTTCCCCGGAAGCTTCAGTCTCAGAGTTTGTTTCCATTTCTCCTGAGGGTGTTTCCTGGGTTATTCCTTTACAATTCGCATTACGGGGTGGGGCGGAGAGGGAGAGAGTGAGTTTATTTCAGGTTTTATCGTCCATTTCTCCTTATTTGTTTGTTGCAGGTCCTTGTAAAATTGTGTGGCAGCCAACAAAGAGTGCTCTGTTCACGGTAAAGTCTATGTATTGCTACACCAATTCCAGCATGCGTCCAGGTGTGGCGGGTTTCCCCTACAAGGTGATTTGGAGGTCCCCAAGTGCCATCGAAGGTTACAGCATTTCTTTGGTTGGTTATGCATAAAAGGATCCTTACTCACGATAATCTTAAAAGGAGAGGCTGGAAGCTAGCGAGTAGATGTGTGATGTGCAACAAAGCTGAAGAAACGGTGGATCATCTGTTCTGTGGATGTGAGTACAGCAAGCAGATTTGGACGATGTTGCAAGCGATCGTGGAGTGGATTGACCCGCTTCCCTGTAACATTGATGCGCTGATTTGTGGGTGGCCAACTAGCAACCACACGAATTGGAAAGAATGGTTCAAGAACAGGTTACTTCATGCTGCTACGTGGGAAATTTGGAAGGAAAGGAATGCTAGAACATTTAAAGATGAGTCGAAACCATGGTGTGTGATTGTGCACAAGATCGGAAGGACACTTTTGAATTGGAGTTCAGCCAACGGAATTATCAGTCTGCAAGATGGAATGGTTTGGATCACTCTGTTTAATCAATTGTGCCCGTTATTACAGAGATAGCAAGTTGTATTGGTTCTCGGTGGGGTGGGGGGTTGAGGGAACTTTGCTGTCACTTTTTTTGGATCTTCCCTTTGTTGGAGGAGATGTTGTCTTCTCTTTTTTTCTTTGCTTTTGGACTTTATTTTCTCCAAACCAGCTTGGAACACTCCTGGCGATCCTTGGGTGATGGAGTTTGTCTCTTTTTGTTTTTTAGTTCTGTTTCTATTTAATAAATTCACCCTTATAAAAAAAAACTCGACCAAATTCAGCGGGTTAGCTTTAGGTCTATAGAACGTGGAGCTGACCAAAGGAGCTTCGATTTGATTGGAACTTGGAGATTAGCTTTAGTTATTAGTGGTAGAGGGAAGGATGAAGGCACCGTTTACAATTTGAATCAAATGTTTTAGGTGCCGAAATATAATTTGAATCACCGTTTAGGAAGACACTCGACCGCTGTATTTTTGCAACGGCGCTGTGCTTTTGTACAAAAATCACAATAATGTATTCAAAACGGATTATTTGTGGCAAAAACCCTCTGTTCCTTGTCTCAGGTCCCAATGAAATTTCATGAGCAACTGAAATTCAAAGTATTTTTTGTTCTTACTCTTTGCATTAGGCGGACTAGTGATGCAGAGAGAACCAATTCAATGCGGTAAATTGACATGGTTAATATTAGTTATATATGCCAAGGTCATTGTCGGTATAGAATCAGATCGAATTGAGATAAGATCCGAACCAAATTAAGTATCACAATCGAAACAAAAACTTATTACATTCTATTGGTCCGGTTCATATTCAATTTTCGTGTATTTTACTTTCATATATAAGATATTTGCGAGATTGAGGTATACTTAGATTTATTCGATTAATTTCAAATATCAGTTCGATACAATTCAATTTACTAATTCATGATAGAATTTCATTTTTGAATTTCACATATCCTCATTTGTTACCCATCTTTTAGACGTGAGAGTCAATAGTATGTCATACTACCCCTCAAATGCTGAGGTATGTTTGTGAATTTAGTAGAGAAACTGCTCTTGCAAACTACTAGTTTTTTTTTGGCAAAGGTAGTATGTATTAGATAGGGAATTACAAATAGTTGAAAAATAGATAGCGGAAATGAGCCAAACGCTGATTAGCCGATGCAAGAGCCGTTTTCGCCACGCAATGGGCAGCCCTGTTAGTTCTACGAGGAGAAAATACAAAACGAATAAACGCGAAAGATTCTTTCATCTGCCGGACCTCTTCCAGTATCGCTCCCCCGGTTATGGTCTTGTCGCGCATCCAGTATCGCATGCAAACTACTAGTTAGATGTCTGGATTTTCTAAGTATCGTCTTATTAAGATTTCTTGCTCTGATTACATGTTTAAGAAATTGAAATGTACAGGGCAACTCTAAACACGGTCCAAGGAAAAAGGATGGGCTAATTACGGCCCAGTCCACTAATAGGAAGCCAATGGGCCCTGAAACTTCCATGCAAAGAAAAAACCTAAGCATCGTACATGTACCAGTCTGGGGACGTTTAATAAACGAGCCACATTGACAAATCAACAACTCCGGCCCAGCCCATAAACCCAGAATCCCACGCCCCGCGCCAGAAATCACGTGGGGGATATGATACATTACGGCCCCACACGCTCTGCGGCGCACATCCTAATCGCACTCCGAGATTCGCATGTCCCCCGTAATTACCGCAAATCCACGAGGCCAATTCTGTACATTCCCCATCCAAAATATATGCGGCGTAACAAATTTGATTTCTGCTAAAAACTAGAAATCCTTATCCACCGAATCCAAGTATCCAACTCAACGACTCTATTATTTTGTACCCAATGAATTCCCTAATTTACCCCTGTCGCTCACTTTTTTTTGAATCATAGTTTATTCCTCGGTCCTCTCACAGTCTTGTCTTCTTCCTGCTCTAAAACTCCATTTTATTGGTCGATGGCCATCGCCATCACCGTCTGATCGAGATCCAGCGAGCAAACCCGAGTCGTCACTCACCCACTCGCTCATTCCCCAACTCGTTCTCAACCGACTCGCTAAGTTTCATAGCCATGAGGCGATCCAGCCGAATCGAAATCTTCGATCCATTCTACTGCCCTGCTTCTTCCTTGTTCCTGAATGAAGCCTCCATTTTCCCTCCCGGAGCGCTCGGTTTCCCGTCGTCGTTCATTTCCGAGCATGAGGAAGTTGACGAGCTGAGCTCGGCGTTCGAGCTGCTGGCCCCGAGAGCCAGCAGCGGGTTCGAGCTGTTTGATACGGTGACGGATCTGATACAGGTGGAGAAAACGCCGTCGTACTGCTCCTACAAGAGGGTCCAGCAGCGCGCCGCCGCGCCGGAGCTGTATCTGCAGAGGATCTCCGATCGAGTGACTGCTCTGGAGTCGAAGTTTGAGCAGCTGGTGAGCAAGTCGAAGGGGAAAGTTGGAGACCGGAAGTACACGTGGACGGCGGAGATCAATGGTCCGGTTGAGAGGAAGTACAAGTGGATGGCGGAGATCAAGGGGGCAGCAGAGAAGGAGGAGGAGGTGAAGCAGAAGAAGCAGGTTCCGGTTAAGAGAGTTCCGGTGGAGAAGAAGTACAAGTGGACGGCTGAGATTAAGGGGAAGGGAGAGGAATCAAGGAAGTATGTATTTGAAGTATCCAGCGGCGGGGATGCGAATAAGAGCAGTGAATCGGGCAAAAAGGACAAGAAGAAGGAGGTGAAGAAAGTGGAAGAGAAGAAACCGAAGAAGAATGGAGTTCGCGTGGTGGAGATTGAAGAGCCTGAAGCTGATCATGGCGTTGTGGTTCTTAGACAGGTAAATTTGAAAACTACACAGTGATCTCAATTAGCTCACTTTCTCCATTTGTGATAAGCTGAGACTTGTTCATTGTTGATTGAAGGCATTTGCTAAGAGAGCTGGGGCATTGAGGTCGATGAAGGGGAAGAACAAGGAACTGTCGCCACAAGATGCAGCATTGTTGATCCAGATCACTTTCAGGGCTTACCTGATCAGGAGGTCGCAGGCTCTTCGTGCTCTCAGAGACCTGGCGATCGCCAAGGCCAAATTGAAGGAGATCAGGGGAATGTTTAACAACTTTTCTTACCGTCGTCAAGTTTCCAGGGACGCTGAAGAGCGCCAGAGGTTCACTGAGAGGATCATTGTCCTGCTGCTCACTGTTGATTCCATTGAGGTAACTACTAAAGTTCTCTTCTTCTAACTTTACTCAATCGCCTGCATTTAGTCGACCCCTGTGCCTTCCATTACGCGAAAGTACATTGTTTGAGTAGATGGTTAAGGTAGGATGTGTGTTCCAGTTAGTGGGTTGTTAGAATGAATAGAGAGGTGTAGTTAAAGATGTTGCCTTCCGATTGATGTGGAGTCTTTAATGGTCCTGCTGAGGCCCGTCTCATTACAGAGTTATCATGCTTGAATCGTCTATCAATTCAAGCAACTGGCTCTCTTGGCTTCTGTTGGTTGATTCGGCATTAAGTGTTTGGTGTGCATTGAATTGGATTGTTTTAGTTTGAACTTGAACATTGGTCCTCAATTTTGCCGTAGATACCAGGGCATTGTTGGATGCGTCAAGTTCTTTGAGCCACATGAACTGTAGGCCAACGAATTCTTTATGGCTAGAATGTCTTCATGCATCGAGTTGAACCTTCATTCACTCTGAGCTGCATCTTTATGTGGGCTAGGTAATTGGTACTGCCCTTTTCAAACATTCTAGTTACTAGATGGAAGAATTACATAATCCGAAACCCCAACCTTATACATAGTTGGTTTAAGTATATAATTTCTAAGATGGAAGGTCTTCCCTACTGTCGCATCTTTATCTAGTTTTGGTGAATCATGCCCAACTGGGACGTCTTATAGAATTCTTTGTCAAATCTTTTGAGCGCATATGCTAAGAAAGAAGAAATTTTGGTGCATTCTATGGATGTAGATACTGAGTGGAAAAATGCATATGACTATGCATGATTTGTTCTCGGTAGCCATCCCTTGCACGCACTGTGTTTGGACTATGTTTCTCAGTCTACAATTGGTTTCGGTAGCCATCAACTTTCAACAAAGCTAGCGTGCCACTTGATCTCTCTAATAGTCCTTACTCCTTAGCCTTTTTGTGATCGGTCAATTAGTTCGATGTCTCATTTTTCAATCCGTTACTATGTCAGATATGGAAAAATGATTCTTCATGTGGCCCAAGCCTAGAGTTGATGTAACTCCACGGTCGTTGAATAGACCACTATAATGTAATGCGGGTGCTGAATGATTTTGTCTCAGGGAGCCGATCTGATGGTGAGGTCTTCCAAGAGGTCGATGGTGGATGAGCTGGAAGCCATGCTGGACGTGGTGGACCCACAGCCCGCCGGTGGGAGGTCGCTTTCGATGAGGAGGCGGACATTCGACATGCCCGACGGCACCATCAGGAAGGAGATCGCTGAAGGCGTCGCACAAGTCGTGCAGATGCTCGAACAAGAAGAAGAAGAGGCGGATGAGTAAGGTAAGTAAGTAACTTCGCCATTGGCGTTGTTCTTTCTTGGTGTGTAAGAGAGAGAGAGATAGCTTCCTAGTATCGGCTCCCACTTGTTAAACTGAATAATCTTCTTCAGTCTTTTGTTGGAACAATCGTGTTTGTTAGTTTATTAATGGACGTGTTCTGATGCTTCATTTGGGCTGTGTGTTTCCTTTCATGGGCTGGATTGTGGGCTTTTGCGATGTGTTGGTTGGCCTGTAGTAGCCTTGTGTTGTAGGGTTTCTTTCAGAGCAGCTGCCAACTACTTACCAAAAAGGAGTCAATTTTGCAGTGTTATTAAAGTCGAGCCGCTCGGCCCGACCGGTAAAACTGCCACCTGGTTACAAAACCGGCTCGGAACAGTCTAAAAGCCGCTCCGGTTTTATGTATCGGTTGATGAGCGGCTGAGGTGGTTAACCATTCGACCCGATTGAGCCGTTCGTCCGGTTTTTGTCATTCAGCCGTTAAATTTAATTAAAAAATTGCAGAAAATTGAAATAAACCATAGACGTCGGGCTCTCAAACTGAATCTTTATTTTCATTTCACAATTTCGAAGGAAAGAGATGAGCTCTGATTAAGAAATGTCCACTATTTATACTGATAACGTTTATTAGGTACCGGTTCTCTAACGGTTTTAAATGGTCTAATATCGATTGGACCATTAAAGGACAAGTCATTCGCATCACCGAATCATGGTCCAGTACGATTTTGACAACATTGCAATTTTGTTGCCCTTCTGAGCGACTCCTCGAGTATCTATTGGGACGGACCAGCGACGGCAATTTTCCCCACACTTGCAAGTTGCAAAAAGCATCTTTCTACCTTCTCCTCGCTCGTATCTGATTTCGCTTTCGCTTCCTCAACCGCCAGCGACGATTGAAGCACTTTCGGCATCGAGCACACTATTTAATTTGTAGGCCCGTGTTTTAAAAAATGATTATGAAAGCACTTGCACTTCCATCTGAAAAATGAGGCCCCTTAATCTAATGATTCCTACTGATCCTTCTGCTCGTTTTGGAAATTAACAATTATCACATGATCACGCAAATAGTTTCACGCTGTGGCAAATAGTTTCATGAAACCTCCGAGAAGAAAAGTCGGTGTAGTAGTGGAAAAGCCCCACTTATGTCTCACAATTCAACTCTAAAATTGGAGAACTACATATTGTATTTGGAATTTGGTTACTGTACAGGAAGCGATCAGTACATGTTAACATCGTTGGATTGTTCTTCTATGTACATACAATTATTGATTTGAATTTGGTTACATAGGTAAATAATTAGGATTTTGCTACGGTGACATGCATGTCACCGTGACATGGACTTTTCGGTCGACCTAATCCAAAATGCGGTCGACCGAATTGACTAATTCATATATGTGAGGTTCCGAGACGCGGTCGACCTTTTACATAATATGGTCGACCTCTTTAGTGGTCTTACATAATATGGTCGACCTCTTTTTATGTGTGAACAATTATGATTTCTGTTTTATTGTATTTCTTGTTAGTTTGTTTAGTTGTTATGCTATGAATTGATGAGTCCTTGTTATCATTATTTATGACTATTTATGATGGTTTGAAACATAATTTATACGAGCAAAAGAACCACACAAATCGACATACATAAGCAAAAAAGACACGGGCATATGTTGACTTTCTTGCATTCGGTCGACCTCGTACCGGATTAGGTCGACCTCGAAACCAACACTTGATCTTCATTTTACCTCAAATGATTGGACACTTTGATAGAACACTTATCTTCTATCTAGTGGACCTCTTTCCTTATCAGGTCGACCATTTTGTTGACTGCCATCAAGTGGTCGACCTATATACCTTTTCGGTCGACCATGTTGTTTCTGATCGACCAAAAATAACAACTTAAACTAAGTGCGGTCGACCAGGTGGTCGTTGAGGTCGACCGCAATGCTTTCTCGTGCTGCCCAAATTAGTCAATTCGGTCGACCGCCTTCAGGAATAGGTCGACCGAAAAGTCCATGTCACGGTGACATGCATGTCATAGTAGGCATACCCAAATAATTATTATAGTTAAATAATGTTATTGTATTGATATGAAGACTAGGAACACGTGGAGGGAATCCAACGGCATGCTGATCGCCCAAACTAGCAGAAATATAATTTCTTTTTCACTTCGTCTTGCATTCTTTGCACTTATCCCATGAAAAGTACCAATAAATATGTGGCTTGTTGTCCGCTCAAACGTACTTAAAGCCGTTTTTGGTAAATATCAATTTGTTAGATAGTCCATTGCTAAGCTCTTGAGGTTCCAACGAGCCAAGCTTTGTGACTGTTTTTTATTGTGTGCAAGCAAGAAACTAGCCGTGCAAAGAAGCAAAGGAGAGGAGGAGAAAACAAACACACCACCTCATTGTTGATGGCATTAGGAAGGACTAAACGATGGTTCTGGGGAAATCTGCACTGACCTTTTTTTTCAATAGATCATTTGCATTTCATAACGCAAGTATATAATACTAACGATTGTTCATGTACATTTACCGTAGTAAACTTAACGACATTGTTGTTAACCAACTACACAAATCAAGTCCCACATAACCCAGAAAGGTAAAATCTATTTATCTAAGGGCCTTTTCTAGCTACAGAATGAACCCAGAGGGAATCAGTGATCACTTGACATTAGTTTATTACGTTGATTAAGGTTTAATATTAAGTATTGACAATTAAGTTGTCACTAGAATCTTCCAAAACGTGGCAGGCATGATATTAGGCCAACTTGGTCAAAGTCTTTAAACGAGAAGCTCTCTCCTCCGATACTCTAATTATTAGTTCCCCCGGCCCAACATCGATTTCCCTTTTGCTTTCTTTTTCCTCAATCAAAATGGAAAGAGTGGGGAAAGTACTCTTGATCAAGTTTTGGTATAAAAAATACACAATATTTGAGTATTCTGTAAATCAAGTTTTGGCATGGACCATACACAAACACAAATATCATTGGATACACAAAAGAAATGAATACACAATTTTGATATAGTTTTTGCCTTATTATTTTGTATGAAACAAACATAAAGGTGGAAACACTAATATTAAATGTGTAATTGGGTTGAAGACAATTAATGAAAGGGTTGATATTATACTTTTTTACTATTATTTGGATACTGATAGACTCATTTGAGGGAAAATTCTTAGCTCCAACCATCCACGTGTCGGTTTGTTATTGGTTGGAGCTAATAATTTTTCCTCATTTGGGTCGGACTCTAACCTACATGAATGGATCCAATTCAAACCCCAAATATTAAAAAAAAAACATTTGAATCCAACTCAATACCTACGATAATAACAACTGTGTCAAATTAATGAATTACTCAAATTAATGAATTACCCAACAAATCCATAAGAAAATGAATATACTAGTTGTGTATTATTGGTTACCACTTTTCTGAATGCTCTATTTGTCTTTGTCAACACATCTACACCTCCCTTTGTTGTTCCTTGTCATTGCCATGTCAAACTTTTGACACCTTTCTCACCACCTCTTCATAGAAAATACTAATAATTGATTACTTTAATCAAATATTAATAATGCTATTACAATTCATTTTTGGTTTATATGAAGGTGAGTGCTAATTAGAATTTAATTAATTAATGTTACATGTGAGTTGTGTGGTCCAATCATGTATACTCTTAAGTCCTAACAACAATCTTTCTTTACTTATGGCCACTAACTATTCACACATAATTTTCCATGAGCAATAAAAAAGAACGTATTGAGCGCCATTATGCCAACCAATTGTGTCTTTTTGAACGTGGAATGAAAAGGAACGATTAATTTATGTTAATGGGGAAAACGAGGTTAGGAAACTGTATTATAATTTTGTTAATTACAATCGTCACTACACAGTAATGCACCCGACACCAGAATGAGTTGATTATACATGGACCGCGCTGCATTGGCAATGGCTAATTGCCTTAAATTTAGTTTCTATTGATATCATTTTTTATGAGCGCAATTGCAAAATTATTGTATATAATGATGTTTCATTTTGCTACATCAATATTTTTGTAATGCATTTCATATTAATTTCATTGTACCTACGTTGGTGAAATACACTTGCAATTGCATATGTAGTAAAATATTATTTTTAAATTAAGAAAAAATTAAGTTAAAATGAAACTGAAAATTAAAAAACATCATTTTTAGGCCATTTTAGCTTTCATATACAATTGCATTTGTTCCAAGTTTAAAAATATGCAATGAGTAGTCGCATTTATGCAATTGGTTTTGCAATTAAAAAAAATCGTGTTATGTCAACTTACAATTAAAAATGCAATACTAATATAGATGCTCCAAATATGCTAATTTTTCTTTGATCGTGCTATAAGATATGATTGATTGTTCTCCAAGTAAAATGGGAATTTAACTATGATTTCATTTCCCCGTCATTAGAGGATGATTGACATGTGAAACATAGAAAGAGAGAGACCATCAGACCAATGACCAATCAATCTACCTCAGAATCTAAACCACCTATAAATAAAACCAGATTAATGACTTTGTAGTACACTAATTCTAGAAAGTCGGGAAGAGCGGGAAAAGTGATTAAGCTTTAACTTGCCGTATTAACACCAAAACATATGGCATTAAAGGAGAACCAAAGTGAACAAACAATAATAAAGAAGAAGAAGAAGAAGAAGATTCGGTTACCAACCAACGGCCCGGTCTGGTTTGTGCTCTTCTTCCTTTTGCACTTGTGCTTCACTCCCTTTTACGCTTTTCTTTCTCATGTACCACTCTCATTGATGCACACCATGATTCTATTGGAGATTTTTTTTTTTTTTTTTTTTTTTTTTTGCGTACAAGGAGGCCGAAGCCAAGAGAAGAGATTACATCGTCAGAGGATAAGTGGAGGTAGAGGGATGGGTAGGAATTCCACGCTCGAACGTGATTCCCCGCATATCATCTCGAAGAAGACCAGCAATGCTGTGAGGTGGATCGACAAGCTCATACATTCCGTAGGGATAGATGAGACTGTGCTTTGAGAGCCAGTCCGCGACTCTATTCCCTTGTCGGTATGTATGAGCAATGCTTACCAACCAATCTTGGCTGAGCTTTCTCCGAATAGCAGCAAGAAGAGTCGCATAAGGATGAACCTGATCATGTCTATCACTGATGAGCTGAATGGCCAACTGGGAGTCATATTATATCTTCAGGGCGCGGCAACCAGTCCTCCACGCCATATCAATACCATGGAAAAATGCCCACAACTCGGCCAAAGCTGCAGTGGCAGTCCCAATGTTTGCAACAAACCCCATCATCCAGCAACCATGAC